TACACACTGGTCCTTTAAAATGCATTTACTTTGAAACACATGCAGGTATTGAAGGGTAACAGCGGAAGCAGTGGATTGTTTAGATCTGACTGATTCCCAATACTGGTACTACTAGAGCTAATACAGATCATCTGAACAGTCGTCTGTTTGAAGAACATTCAGAAAACAAACAGCCTCAGTGAGATGGCTCTCCAGAAGGAAGACGCTGACCTGACCAGTTGAACTTTGAGCAAATTGAGAGACTCCAGACACAAAGGCACTCTCTCCTGACAGATCTTCTCTTCACAGATACACAGCGGGTGGCCAAGCTGTGGCATATACCTGTATATACTGGCCCCAGGTTTGTGGTCACCTGAGAGGCCTTTACCGCTCTTTCACTGCAGACAATGACCCAAAATGTCAGAAAACACTGGTTCTAAATTAAGAAATGACTATAAATATACAATCATGTGACTCAGTGGACGCAGAAGAGACCAGTGTTTTCTCTGAGCTTTACCAGGAAATGATGTCACCAAGCATGCTGGGAAGACTCTCATAACTGACCTGGAGACTGTAACAATTAGGCTAATCCTCATGTTGTTATTTCAGTGCTGGGATTAACTTGTAAAAGCATGCTATATATGTGTGTGCATACATTAATGGTTCAGGGGTCACGTGACTTTAGTTCATGAACATGTAGACGTATAGTAAAGATGAGGCATGGCACACGGTGGGGGAGTCAGGAAGAGAGAAATCAGTCCAGAAAGAGCGAGGAAGATGAGACTGGATGAGAGGGTGTGGCCAAACACTCTCCTAATCCAGAATGATCCTGTGAGTCAACCTTAGAGCCAGATTAATGTAGCAGTACCTCAGTGTCTGTGGGACAGACGGGATATAAACAGAGGCCACAACCAGCTGCTGGATCTTTTACTCTTGTGACCAAATTTAAAACTCTCCTTTTGCTTCTACTGGATTATTATTATTAGTGGGACAACAGTGAGACACATGGCGCTGCTGAGGTCAGGCTGGCTGTGGAGACAGAGTGAGTAGATACAGGAGTTTTTCTTTAGTTTTAACTTTAGCTGTTAAGACAAGAAGCACCACCTCAAGATCTGATTCATTTAAACCAATGCTGGCAACAGTGCTCATTGTAAATGATTATTTTTGGTAAGGTTTGCCAAAAATGTGTAGGTTCCAGTCTCTCTAATGTGAGGATTTTCAACTTCTCTCTATTTCATTATTAACTTTTTGTTTTTACCGTGAACTTGTGTTCAGTAAGCTGTTGTTTAGACAAAATACGTGATCGAAATTGACGCTTTAGCCTCTGGGAACCTGCGAAGAGTATTTATTTTGTTTTTATTTTTTCAGGCTTTTTATACTGTAAGATGACAGTAGAGAGAATGAATGGAGAAAGAGAGAGAGAAGTAGAGAGAGAGAGAGGAGAGAGAGAGAGAGATGGGGGATGACAGGTAACAAACATCACTGGCCAGACTCAAACTGTGGGTGGTGCAGTTCACGGGTGGTGCCTTAACTCCTAGGCCACAAGGTGCTGCCGTTTGTGGCCATTCTACAGGCTAAAAATCTTTGGATCTACTGAGAATGAAAATCATTAATGTAACCAAAAGAGAATATTGTATACAATACAAAAATACATTTGACACCAAATGTACATGGTGAATGTTTCAGTTTTTATTAAAGTGTCACTTCTTTCATATTTTAAATACAACTAAAGTAAGAACAAACACAAGTAAAGATGATATGACATCTTGGTTGTTGTAGGAATCAATGATTTGATCTTCCAGTTAGTCTCTAGTTCAGTGTCTTTATCTACTGAGCGTGCAACAGCTTATTCTATGTACTATAGGTAGACCAATACTGGATTTCTGAGGCTGATATCAATGTTTGAGAACTTTCTAGAAAGTGAAACTGTACCTGTTATGAAACTCCAACCTTTGTCACTTATAATCCCATTAATTGTCCCTGCCCATGTCTTTAAGTGGCTTACCCGGGACAGTCAATGTAGATGTATCTAAAATAACATCCAGAAAACACAGCAACAAAACAAATAGAAAACAAAATCACATTTCTTCTTCTTACATACTTATTCAGGTTATTGATCATAGCACTGACTCAACAATCACTTAATCAACCATCAATCTGAGGTCAATGAATGGTCTACTCCAGACCTGCCACCCCGATAATGAAAGCGATTTTTTCATAAGCACATAATTGCAGAAGAAAATGCTTGTTGTTGATTTTTGGCAATGTCAACTAGAATTGGTTGACATTGTATATGTAAAATTAGTAAAAGTATTAAAGACAATTTAATCATATTCTGTAATAAAGTAATTTACTTGAGAAAGCAGCCAGTAGAATACCTTTGCATAGTCATATCGGTGCAAAATCCACTAGGGAAATATTTTATTCCAGCTCAAATCAGCTGCCATATTGGTAATCTGTGTATTTTAACCTCTAAAATTGGTATCGAATCCCATAGCGGTCGGACTCTACTTACTTCACAGCTCCTTCATGGACAAACACTAATGGTACACTGTGACATGTGTCTCCCCTCCAGCTTCCGTCCTAAGACGCTGGAAGTTAAACTGGTGTGACCTTTGGGTAGATGGGAGTCTCTGCTTCTACAAGACCGACAGCAGGCGAGAGCTGGAGCACCGCATCAGCCTCAAGCTAGCATGTGTAGACGTGAGATCTGGCCTGGAATGTGGAGGTAAAGCCACCATTTAACCTTTTTTTTTTATCTCAAAGCTGCACTCATCAGTATTTTTTATATTGACAATGGATTATGTGTAATCTGAAAGTGGGTCTCTTGTGGTGACAGTTAGGGATTATGTGGTGGAAATAGTGGAGCATTTAGAAGCTGAAGAGTCACATATTTTCCTCAGCAGTTGGTGGAGACCAAAACATTAAATTGCTCAGATTACTTGTGCACTTGTTAAAAATGGCTGAAATTGTTTCGTGTGGCAAGGGAACAGTGGTTGTAAGTCAGAGCAGGGGACAGACAGACACTCTCAGTCAGGGCAATAGGTGGTATGGCTGAAATTAATATCACAATAAATACTTTTACAATATTGATATAGAGCACAGTATGGCAAATATAGGCAATAACACACAATATAATCACACTGATGATCAGTGTAATGAAATGCTCAGTCCTAGTTGCTAAATGCCAGAAAGTAGAGCTGAATTATGATCACAGAACTGAGCCTCGGAAGCTTTTTTTAACCAACAATGTGCCTGGTCAAGGTGGTGAAGATTTACAGGCAGCCAGCAGCATCAGTACAGCTGTGTGCCACTTCCATTCTCCCAATATTTCTCCTCAGGTCACACTATTCCCCCACAATGCAATACAAGAGAAGGACGCTAAAGGAACACTTCAGAAAACAAAAAATAACTTAAATTAACTTAAATTACCTTTCCTGAAGTTTTCTTAGAGTTACAGTTTTACTGCCGTCCAACAGCAAAGGTGTCATTTCCTATTAATAATAAAGGGGTAAGGATGTTGATTTGTTGCATATTAACTGCAAGAACATTATGAAATAAAGATTAGTATGTAGTATCTGTATCCAGATTCAGATGTTTTAGTATTTAGTATTTTTGAGCCATTTTATGCTTTATTACCAATGTGACAGTGGATGCAGGGGCGGATAGAGAGAAATACTCATGGAGTGATGAGAGGGTGACATGGAGACATTAACTAATAATTGCACCGGACAAAAAAAATAAACAGCAGTATTTTAGCAAAGAATATAGGCCTAGACAGGGCTATGAATATACAGTACAGGTTAATGTGTATGTAAGAAATTCTATATATATATATATATAGATATATTATATATACTAATTAGTATAATACCTACTATCGTCACATATAACGTATGAGCTACCAGGTAAGCATGTACTGTATCAAGAAGCTAAACAGTGCCGGTAGAAGTAGTGCAAACAAAAGAAAGCTGACTGTGCTAATTAAAAGTGACGCATGGTGGTGGTGTTGCTGAAGTTGAAAAGGTCTCAGCCTGCTGGATGAAGGACCATGTGGCAAGCGCGCTGTCCTGCCACTGAGGGTGCAGCAGCTGTTGAAGCTGAAGGAGCCTGGCTTCAGGGCCCACAAGTCTCATGCAGGGGGTGAGAGGTGTTGTCCATGAATTGACATCAGCTTGCTCACGCGCCTGCCCTCTATGGAGTTCCCTAGAAGGGCCAGTCCAGGACACCAAACTAGCCCTCCCTGAACCGGTTTCCTTAATTTTTACCAGCTAGATCCGCGACTTCTATGTGCCGG